ATGTGCTGTTTCACAGGCCTTTGCATAGGATGGCATCCCTCATACTTAGTTGCTATCTCTCCTCACTTCTGCCTTTTAGTCTCACTAATTTCCTTCAAGACTCAGCTCACAGGCCAGCTTAGGTTTTTCCTGATTCCCCCCAGTTGTTAGTGCCCTCCTTCCCCTGCAAATTATATTTACTTAAAAAAAAATTAATAAAGCCTCAAAAAAGGGCAGCTAGGTGGCATAAAGGATAGAGCACCAGCCCTGGAGTCAGGAGGACATGAGTTCAAATGTGACCTCAGACACTTACTAGCTGTGTGACTCTGGGCAAGTCACTTAACCTCAACTGCCTAAAAAAAAAATTAATAAAACCTCAAATTATATTTACTTATCTCTTTACATGTCTCCCCCTACACCCAGTAGTTTGTAAGTTCCTTAAAGGTAGAAATTATTTTTTTTTGTATCCTGGCATCTAACACAGAGCTTTAGACAAAGTATACAATTAAGTGCTCTTTAAGTTAAATTTGAATTAAAATCCTGGTACTACCAAGTGACTGAGGGTTCCTCTAAATGAAGAATAAGCTTTGTATTGTACCTGATACTGCAAATTCAAGGAGCCTGCAATTTAACTCCCAGCTGGGTAGCTTAAAGGCTTTCTTTCTAGTCTGTCTGCGTTTCCTATTCCTCTCAATCCCATGCTTTTCCCACCTCTAACAGCTTTTAGGTATTACAAGATATCATTGATATTACAAGGTATCATTGAGATACCATCGAGATGGATATGATCTATGTTCCTCCTCGGGAGTGGAAAAACCAGTGAAGGTCCTGGAAAAGAAAGAATGAAACTTTGTCTCAAAGCAGAGAACATAGTCCAGTTTTCCAGATTGGGCAGACACAGTAGGACTATGAGAACAGTGTATGGTTTACTAGACTGTGCACTGTCAAGTACAACCTTTGTATTAGATGTTTTTGCTTATTTTTTTTCTTTTTCACAGGGAAGGGTTCAGTTTGCAGACAGCATGAGAAATAGTTGTGATGTAAAGACAAAAAGGAATCAATAAAATGAGCTTTCCAAAAAAAAAAAGAAAAGAAAATCCACTTCATTTTTCTAGAAACTGCTCTTTCTCCTTCTTAGGTTTTTAACCCCAAGACTTTTATTTACTTATTTATTTTACCAGTTCTCAAGACTACTGGAATGGAGTATACTCTTTGCACAGAAAATACTAATGAAAGATTTTACAACTCTCATTAGTCAAAATTGCTTTCATATTATCAGTATTCTGAATGTGAGTTGGAGATTTGATACACTGAAAGTCATTCTTTAAATCTACATGTGTTCAACACCACAGCTCAGCAGCTCCTAGCCAATGTTTTTCATCTTTTTTTTTTTTTACCAAAGGAAACCAGAGAAGACATTAGCTCAAAACAAAAGCATTTAACTAGACAGAATAGCAAGGTAACTAACAAGGAGCCTTCCTTTCCCATAACCATTAATTAATACACACACACACACACACACACACACTCACCATTAATTAATACACACACACACACACTCATACTGGCTCACAGATTCCTGAGCCACCGTTGGAAAAGGGAATCCTCAAAGTTCAGACAAATCAAGTTTCCAGGGCTGCATCGCTGATGGTATAATGCCTCTTCATCTCCAAAGCTATCGTGGAGTCCCAGCAGATTTGAAAATGCCATTTGTTAGGCTGCTTTCTCCAGAGTTGTGGCATACTGATGTCTTCTGCTGGGCTGCTTTTGTTGCCGAGTTTCAGCTGCTACTTTTCTGCTAGGTTGCTACTGCCGATACTTCATTGCTCAATTATAGCTTGGTTGTTCCTTCTCCAGCACGAGTGTCAAGAGCTTAAAAAAAATTTTGGAGGGTAGGCTAGCCTCTAGCCTCAGGGCTGCTTCAACTTTGTTTGGGTGTGTGTTTGTGTGTGAGAGTCTGACCCACAGTCATACCAAGTGATGTTAGCAAGGAGTCCTCCACGTTAAATCCACCTTTTTGACTACTCTCACTAGGAATTTCCCCAAACCTGGTTAATGTTTGGGTTGGGATGAGTAAATTACTCTAGTACCAGAATCATGTAGATTATACTGAAGTTTCACTTAGCTGTATTGTAGGGGAATGGTGGAGCTGGCAACTTTTTATCCTTTGGTTATACCTAAATTGCTGCCTTCCCATTTATAGACAAAGATAGTGAAGCCCAGAGAAGTAAAATGATTTGCTCACAGTTACTCTAGGTAGTAAGGAGCAGAGCTGGGATTTGAATATAAGTCCTTTTGACTCAAAATCAAGTACATTTTCCATTGTACAGTAGGCTATATCATTTGAAGAAGGCACTGTCAGGTTCAACTCAAAAGATGTCAAAGTATATTTGGCAACACGAACAGAAATTTGTTAGTAGATAAAAGCCTCCTTGAATATGGCCCAACTTTTCCAGGTTGGGATAATAAACTGAATCATTGTTGAGGGGGGTGGCATGCATTAAAAAGACAATGTCATCTTCTAGTGGGAGGAGATGCTTATTGATCATGTTTGTATCAATAAATCTAGAGTTAAATTTCCAATGTGAAATAGCAGCAGTAATGGAGAAGGCAGTCAAATTAACTAAAAATAATCTGTAAAATCTGGAGTCATCCAAATAAATATTGAGCTCTCCTAAGCTACCTATAGGGTTGGACCAAAGAGGGAATATATGCCTGTCTATGGTTTAAGGAATCTCAGAACTAATGTTAATCCCCTCCCTGGAAGGAGTGATTACTAATTGTTCCTCTGAGAATTTCAACAAAGCTTTTGTAATCAGGTTTTCCATTGATCTGGAGTTTTTGGTGAATGCCTGAAGCCCTACATGGATTCTATTGGAAAGAGTTTGTCCATGAGTAAGTGTCGGAAAAGCCCAGACATAAACATTAGACCACTTCAGTGGGAGGTGGGGCTATTTGTATTATTAGATTACACTCATTCCTTGCTCTGAAGCACTGACATTGATCATAGAATGGGAAGTGCTATAAAGTGGCAGTCTTTCTGAATCTGTTTTACTTCTAAGAATACCCATTGTACCCTGCCAAGGTACCTGCGTTATAGCAGAGAGAGTAAGGAAGCAAAGGATTAGTGGCCTAACCTCTCATGTCCTGCTCAATGGCCTGGCATGTTGCTCTCTCCATTACTAAACCAAAGCTCTAATGTGGAAAGGCCCCTGGCTGATTCAGCAACAGTGCATTAGTGTGCCCTTTTTCCCCAAAGCCCCTTTAACATTTGTCATTTTCCTTTTTTTTTTTGTCAACTTTGCCATTCTGATGGATGTGAGGGGAGTTTTCTACCAGCAAAAGCCAGGTTAGAATTAAAGGTAGTTTTCTGATCTAACCCAGCATTTGCTGGCAGAAAACTCTCCAGAAAATCCTATCCTTTCAAAGCTCTGTGATGTTAGCCACTATGGTTCTTAAAACCCTGGATAAATAACTTCACTGGTAAATTAAACTTATTAAGGATTCGGTTTGAAAGTAAATGGAGAGGGAGCAGCTAGGTGGCACAGTGGATAGAGCACCGGCCCAGAAGACAGGAGGACCCGAGTTCAAATGAGGCCTCAGACCAAACACTTGACACTTACTAGCTGTGTGACCCTGGGCAAGTTACTTAATTCCAATTGCCTAAAAAAAAAAAGAAAGTAAATGGAGATGAAACTACAGAATTCAGGAGTTGGAAGAGATCTCTGTGGCCGCCTAGTCTCATATCTGAAAGGACATGCCAAGATGATGTAATAGACAAGAATATCTCCTTGAAGACCTGCCACAGCAGGGAGCCCACCAACTCCTGAAGGCAGCAGGGACAGCTTTAATTAGTAGGCAGTTTTTCCTGGAATCAAGCCTGGATTTTCCTCTTTGCAGCTTGGTTTCCTCAGTTTTAAAATGGGGATATTTACCTCCTAGTGGAATAATAATGTTTGCAAAGTGCTTTGCAAACCATGAAGTATCTTGTAAATGCTAGTTAAGATCATTGCCCAAGGTCAGACATGTAGTAAATGGTAGAATCAAGATCTGACCCCAGCACCTGGGAACTTTTGTGGGTCTGGAGACGGCCGCCTCCAGACCAGTTTTGTGCGTTTCCCTAACAATACTGGAATTTTTCTTCTCGAGGATCACAAGTGCCTTGGCCAGCCGGGGGGCCCTAGATTTTGAAGGGGCTGCCTGACCTGCCCAGCCCTGCGCGGGTGTAGGCAGGAGGGAGAGGCGAGTGTAGACGGCCCCACAAACCCACTGCTCCCAACGCCCCGGGAGGCCTTTCCTGGCTGGGGTCTTTGGTACTGCCTGGGTGACTGACAGCTGGTACTCCCGCCCCCGGAGCTCGTCCCCTGCTCCTGCGGGTCTGGGCCTGGGCGTTGGGCTTGGGTCTGGGCCACGGGGGCTCCGCCACTGGTCGGCGGCGTCTCTGCTCTCTAAGGGAGGGGCTGCAGGGCGCGTTCTTCTCCATCACGGAGAGCACTTTTGGTGCAGCCACAACTCAGCCCACGTTAGGCCTGGAGGGGGCCTCGTGGGCTGGAATTTAAACGCTGGGTCTGGAGAACGGGGCGTGTCTGAAAGCGAGGGAGATGAGGAGAGGGGCGTGTCTGAGAGCAGGAGGCGAACCAGAGGGGGATGGGTGTGCGCCTGAGAATGAGGGGCGGGGCTACTGGGGGCGTGTCTGTCAGCCAGGGGGAAGGGAGGGGGCTAGAAGTCGGAGACAGAGAATCCAAGGGTCAGGAAGGGAGTTACCGGATTGAGAGGGAGAGGGAGGGTCGCGTGGCCTGAGCGTTTGAGGGGCGGGACTAGGAGGCCCTCCTCGACCGAGACGGTGGAAAGGGGCGGAGCCTGAGAGCTGAGAAGGGTGGGACGGGGTCACGCCATTAGAGAGCTGAGGGGGCGGGACAGAGGGGTGGGTCCGGGGCGGGGCCTAGGGCTGAGGGGGCGGGGCGGGAAGCCTCGGCTTCAGAGTGAGGCGGAGTCCGAGGCCGAGGGGCGGGGTTGGGGAGGGCGGCTGCCCGAGTGCTCGGTCCCGGCGTTGAGTCTACCGCTCAGTCTGTCCACCTGTCTTTTGGTCGACCCATCGGTGTGTCCCGAGCCGCTGCCGTCATGGAGGCCTCGTCCGGCCTGGTAAAACCTGTTGCTCCGCCTCGTGTCCCCCTCGCATCCCCTGTCCCCATTGCCCCGCGCATCCTTCCCCGTCTGAGCGGGCGTCCGGGCCAGCGCGCAGGGATGGGGCTGCGGCCTCAGCTCTGCCTTCCCTTCCCGCCCTGGGGCCGCCCGGACGCCAGGCTCAGCCCTCGGTGAGCCGCGGGGATGAGGGGAGCCTTCGCCCGGGGAAGGGCCATAGCGACGGCCCCCCCCCGCCCCCAGGCTTCAGCCTCTGCCCCCTGCCCTTTGCCCTCTGCCCCTCTGCTGCCTTAGCGTTTGGGCAAACCTACCTAGCTAGCAGAGAGTGCCCTGCCTTTGCTCGGGGGTGGCGGGCCTACCTGGGACAGGGAGCGAGGGAGAGCCCCACAGGTGAGGGGTCCAGGGGACAGGGTGCAGGACCCGAGGCCGGAAGCCCTAGGTTCAGATCATGCGTCGGCCATTAGCAGTGCCCAAGGGCTTCACTTAAAATCTTTGAGCTTCAGTTTCCTCACCTGTAACATGAGAAAAATTAGACTTGTAATACCCACTTAGGGTTGGCTTGAGGCTCCAATCTGACAATGCATGTAAAGTGCTTTGCGAACTTTAGAAAGCTATATAACCGTCAGTTTTCCCTCCGTCTCTGGCTTCTGTGCCAACATAGCCTCATTAATATTTTTGGAAGAGCTATTTAGTCAGCACTGGTACCCCAGTAAGACCATTGTAGGCCATATACAAGGTTTGGAAATATTAACTCTTGAATGTGATGGTGTACTGGAGAAATTCAACTTACCACAAAATGTTGTATTTTTTTTCTCATTTAAAATATGCATTTACAGAAATGTTAAAGTGTCCTTCACTGTGCTTCATTAAATGCTAGTACCTTAGAAAGATGTCTATCTCAGCTCCTTCTAATCCTAACTCTGACTTGTACCTCTAAACTCCTTCACTAGTATCACCAGAATTATAGTTTTATAAGAAACAAGTATTTCTATAAGTATGTGTTTGGTGTCATTTGACATTTATTCAAAATGTTATGCCTAGCTTGTTTCCATTTAGGCATACACAGACTTGTTTTACATCTTAGGTTTGGAGATGCTTGGTATTTATCTGATCTGCCATTTTTCTATTTACTTAGGATGCTTCACTTTTGATTGCGGTTTTGGTAGTTGGTGCATCAGTATTACTACTGTCTTTAAAGAACATAGGATCCCCAAAGAAGAAAGACCTTATCACTTTACTGGATCCAAATACAAAATACCCACTGCCCCTGATTGATAAACAGGTAACCTTCTGTGTCCCTGAAGCTAACCAAATGTTCCCTCTGCTAGGACATCTGGAAATGGAGGACTGTTCTTTCTGGCTCGTTCATGGGAGCTCTGGAAAAAGAGAACATTTGTTAGCTATGTTATAGAGGGGGTTCTTTTTATGTATGAATCGAACTATATGGCCACAGAAGTCCCTTCCAACTCTTAAATTCTGTGATTTTGTTGTTTGGAAGGAGAGGCCGTCCACTGATGATGGGGAATCTGGCTGTGAGTGAAAATGCTTTCCATTGTTTTCCTGGGAACATGGAACCTCTTTGAACCTATCCTGTAATCATCAAACCCTCCACGCTTCTGCCCCTTCCCCATCCCAAGATAAAGGACTCTCTGTATTTGGAGGAGACAACGTGGCTCAAAGCTGGGAAAGGGGAATTTGTATTTAGAGGACAGGGTTTCTTAACCTGGTACCCTGAAATGTGGGGTTTTTAAAACTATTTTGATAACTATTTCAGTATAATTGATTTTCCTTGTCATCCTATGTATTTCATTTTATGCATAGGTTTATCCATAGGTTTCAGCAGATTGCCAAAGAGCTTCATGATACATAAAAGATTAAGAACTTCTGGTCTAGAAGCTATCTAGTACGCTTTGAATTTTTGCTGACTTACAATTAAGGAGGAGTTTTTGTCACCTATGAAAGAAGGCAGAATTTCCCTCCCTTCTTTAAGTTTCAAGACTGTATCAGAATTGGGACCAGGGCTGGAGACTGAATTTTCATTTCTTAAGAAGGTTCTTACTTTACTCCTTTTGGCTCTAAGCATATTAATTTATGTTCTAAGGTTTATGTCTACTTAATTTCTTATTTCCTAATAATTCTAAGGTAGCCCTCTCTGCCAGGGGATTGAGTTGCATGTAGAGTGAGGTAGCAAACATGATGTCTCTGCTTGGTCTCAACAATCTTTAGGATACAATGGCCCTTAGATATAATCACAATCTTAAATCACCTTTATAAGTGTGTTCTTTGTAAAGAGTTCATTTAAAACACTGGGTCAAACATTCTGAAGATGCAGGAACCTGAGAGCAACATTTTCTTCTTTGCTGGGCTAGGAAGGAAGTTGATCCTCTGACAAGTTTGCATAGCTCCCTGTCGGGTAACTTTCCCCACATATATAAAAGGAGGGAAATGTATATGTTCTGAGGCCAGTGGAACTTTCCTTTAGTGCTTATTTATAGTCCAGTACCATATACTATACTGGCATGTAGGGCACTATAAACCCTGAGAATGACAGAGTATTCTTGTATTTTCTGTTTCATTAGGAAATCAGCCATGATACCAAGAGGTTCCGGTTTGGACTTCCTACGTCAGATCACATTTTAGGACTCCCGATAGGTAATGATAATGATAACACTTGTACTGTCTTACTCCTGTAATTCAACATTTATTAAGAGTCTGTGCTGTGCAAAGCTTCATGCACTCTGTGTCGCACTTTATTTGTCAAAGCATAGGATTACAGCCAAAAGGCACCTTAAAAATCATCCAGTTCAGCTCTCTTGTTTTCTGAGAAGAAAACTGAGACTCAGAGATATTATTGCTTGCCAGGATTACATGGGAAGTTGATAGCAGTCAGAATTCTGATCCAGTGCTTTCAAGTATTTAATTTAATTGATTCTCATAGTACCCCTGAGATGGAAAGGCTACACAGATAGCACGTATTAGCTATGTGTTAGCAGAGGGGAAAGGGGAGTGCGGCACCTCAGATATTCTAAAACATACCCAAGTCATTTGGATTTAGTTTTCAGGGAGTGTAGTTGTTGTTTTTCCTGCATATTTCTTTCGTATCCCCTTGTTTTACAGATGAGAGAACAGAGGTCCAGAGTTTGAGAAATGATTTGCCCAGGGTCACGTCAATGAATCGGGCACAGTGATCACCAAACCTAGGTCTCCTGACTTCTAATCTACCATAAGACACTATCCCTTGACATAATTTCTAATTTTTGTTCATAGGCTGATATGGATGATATTATCAGAAGCAGGGCAGCTTAGTGCTAACAATAACTGATATTTACATAGCCTTTAAAGCTTCTGAAGTGCTTTATATACATTCTCATATGAGCCTCACTTTCAACCCTGAAGTAGCTACACAAGTATTGTTATCCTCATTTTTCATATGACAAAACTGAGGCTCAGAAAGTTTAAGTGATTTGCCCATGATCACACAGCCAGTGACTATGAGAGGGAGGATTTGGACCTCCTGCACCCTCTCTATAGTTCCAGGTTGTCTCAGTGCCTGGCAACCTGGGGTCTAGTCCTAGCTGCCACTTGATAGCCATGGAATAGGAGGCAAATTTCTTACTTTCTCTGGACTTGAGTTTCCTTGTATGTAAAATGGGAGTATAATGTTGTCCTGCTGGGCTCCCAGAGGCTTGAGGATCAAATGAGATAATAGATGTGAAAATGCTTTGTAAATGGCAAAACATTCTCTTAATAGATGGGATAGTGATTTTTTTTTTAAGCATATGTGGTTGGGATAGAGAAAGTGTATGAATGTGAGTGAAGGTGGGAAAAAGCCAGAAGGAACAAGACAAGCTGGAAGGAGCCGCCACAATCTAAACTTAGGGCTTCATTTATCCGCAGCTTTTTTGGAGGGAGGGCAAATAATTGAGATCCATCCATTAGTTCAGTGAATAGAATTGAATGAGTTTCATTGACTGATTTAATCCAAAGACATTCCCCAGATTTTTTTCCACTCTGTGGTTCCACTTCCTCTTTATCCACAACTCTTCTTGGAGCCACTACCTCCCAGGAACCAAAGGGTGTCAAATATTCTGTCCTCTTTTGGTGGTGAAACTAAGGGTCACTGAAAAGTGCAGAAGCAAGGCCAGCAGAGAACCCAAAGGCATGTCGAAAGCTTGTGTAATCAGCTAAATAATTAAGAATTGGGTTAAGGAAAAAAAAAACCAAACACTGCATTCTGTACTTAACATACACTAGGAAAACGTTGAACAATAAGAAAAGGACAGCCAGGACTCCAACCCCTCTCCAGAGTCCTCAGAGATACACATAAGGTCTTGGTTATGCAAGCTGCTGGTTATGCACACAGCTGGCAAATCTCACTTCTGATCTACATCACCCTCGTTTTGTAATGTGGGCAGGGGAAGACCTTACCTCACTTGGGTGGTGCATCATACCCTGACGTCCAGATTGCTAATCGTTCCCTCCCATCACCTCCCACTGATTAGGAGGGCTCAAAGCCAAGGCTTCTGAGAGCTTTTTGTTCAGCAGCTGCAGAGCTATAAGGATCTCTGTATCAGGTTGTTTGCTTGGGTCTGGGGAAAACTCAGCTTAGATTATATGACTAGTTATTATAGTTTGATGCTAGTAACTATTCGAAGTACAGAGACTTAATGGGGAGGGGGAGTCAGGAAACAGGTTAGAACATCTTAAATTGGGTTTCAAGAGTAGTTTGAGGCCGAAGATCGTGAGTTCAGACACTGGATTATATATTCTGTGACAGCCACAACCAGAACACGTGGATATCACCAGCATGCATAATGGGATTGCAAGTTCTGTGATGGCCATGGATGGTACAAACATGTATCACATATTCTCCGGCATAAGCTGGTTCTGTATTGGCCATGGCAACTAACTAAAACCTAATGTTTCAACAGTGCTTTGAGATTAAAATGACCTTGCACATATAGTAGGTGTTAATAGATATTTGTTGTATTAAAATGAACTTTCATATCTCTATCTTATTTGATTCTCAAAATAGCCCTGAATAGGGATGATTATCTCCATTTCATAGATGAGGAAACTGCTGTTTGTAGAGTTGAACTGATTTGGCAAGACCATGATTATCAAAGGGCAAAGCTGGGGTTGGACTTTGAGATCTTCTGACTTCCAGGACAGGGATTCTTTCATCAACCCACTAGGCTTTAGTACTTGTACATGTCTGCTTCAACAAAGACATAGACCTGAAAGGGATCTTGTAGAGATCATCTACTCTTATTTTAATTTACAGAGAAGGAAACTGAGGCTCTGAGAAGGGAAGTGTTTGCCTAAGGTTACACAACTAATGAGTAGTAGAGCAGGAACCTAAATCTTTTCAGGCCCATTGTACTGGTATAGCAAGTGTCAGGCAAATAGCAACATTAAGTTGTTGGAAGAAAAGAGAGTTTAATTTTAATAAATAGTTTTAAATTTTTAACAGGGAAAATGTTAGATATTATAAGATGAGACTTACTCCCCTTGACCCTAGAGGGCAGAACTAAGAGTGCTAGGAGGGGCCGCTAGGTGGCGCAGTGGTTAGAGCACTGGCCCTAAAGTCAGGAGGACCTGAGTTCAAATGCGGCCTCAGAACAAACACTTGACACTTACTAGCTGTGTGACCCTGGGCAAGTCACTTAACCCCAATTGCCTAAAAAAAAAAGAAAGAAAGAAAGAACTAAGAGGGCTAGGGTAGAATTTGCAAAAGGACAGATTTTGGCTTACTGTAAGGAAAAACTTCCTAATAATCGATGGAATGGGATACCTTAGGAGGGAATGGGTTTCCCCTCCCTGGAGCTCTTCAAGGAAAATCTAGTTAATTACTTGTTAGAAATGTTATAGGTAGAAGTCCTATCAAAATATAATTGGGGTTGGGGCAGCTAGGTGGCAAAGTGGATAGAGTACTGCCCTGGAGTCAGGAAGACCTGAGCCTCAGACACTTGACATTTACTAGATCCCTTCCAAAGTTGATGTTCTTTGATTCTGTGAAATGCTTTTTGGTAAAAAGCATCAATTCTGAAACAGATACTTCTTTGGAGTTCTTCCTGGCTACTTGTGTTCATGCTCATTTTAAAAAGAAGAAAAAAAAAGAGGATTCTCCACAAAACTAACTTTTTATTTTTCTCCTCTTTCAGGGCAACATGTTTATCTTTCTGCCAAAGTCAATGGAAATCTAGTGATCCGGGCCTATACTCCTGTTTCTAGTGATGAAGTAAAAGGCTATGTGGACCTTATTATTAAGGTAAATGCAGGCAGGTACATTTTAGCCTTGGTGTGAAAAGGCATGAGAAGTTTAAAATGCTATATTTTGGAGAACCTGACAGTGATATACAACTGTAACATTATTCACCTGATTCATACAAACTATGAGTGTCTACTGAAAGATACAGGAGTGCAGTCTGAGAGTGATGAATAATCATTCTTTGCCTAAGCATGCTGTCATTTGGAATCTTCTAGAACCTATCTAAATACACATACGTATATACATATGCACAACAATATAAACATATTCTGAGCATACACATTAACTAAAATAGGTTTTAAAATTGCTTTTCTTGGGGCAGCTAGGTGGCATAGTGGATAGAGCACTGGCCCTGGAGTCAGAAGGACCCGAGTTCAAATATGGCCTCAAATACTTACTAGTTATATGACCCTGGGCAAGTGACTTAATCCCAGTTGCCTCCAAAAAAAGAAAAGAAAAGAAAAAGAAAATTGCTTTCCTTTTACAATTTATAATAAATTCAAAATGTAATTTCCAAAGTTCTCCTTTTTTGTGTTTGCCTTCTATGCATTTTTGGAAAAATGCTTCAGTGAAGACTTAAGAAATCGGATCAGTGCAATGACAAGCCATAATTGTAGAGGGCCAATGATGAAGCAGGCTACCTGTTGATGAACTCAGGATTGCAAAATGAGACATAATTTTTGAAAGTGGGCAATATGAGAATTTGTTTTACTTGACTAAGCATATTAGTTACAATGATTTTTCTTTTCTTTTTTTTTTTTTCAGTTGAGGGTAGAATGGGAGAAAAAAAATTAAGTTTTATTAATTGAAAAACAATTTAATTTAAAAAAGAAAAACACTTCACCTCTTTTTTTCTTTTCCCAGTGTTCCGCTTTCTCTTTCTCCTCCCACCCCATACTGGGAGGAAAAAGAAAAAAGAGAAACAAAACTCTTACAACAAAGATGTACAGTCAAGCAAAACAAATCCCCGTGTTGACCACTTCCAAAAATGTATGTCATCTTTTGCATCTTGAATCCATTACTCTTGTCAGGAGATCTTGAGTCATAATTGGTCATTGCATTGATTAGAGTTCTTAAGGCTTTCAAAGCCTTTTGTGTTTACAGTATTATTATTGTATAAATTTTTTGTGATTCTGCTTAGTTCAGTCTGCATTAACTGATACACATCTTCTCAGGATTCTCTGAAACCATCTCTTTTGTTATTTCCTTAGGTCACAACAATGTTGCATTCATATACCATAATTTGTTCAGCCATTTCCCTATTGATGTGCATCTCCTTAGGTTCCAATTCTTTGCTATAACAGAAAGAACTGCTATAAGTATTGTACACATGGGCCCATTTCCTCTTTCTCTGATGTCTTTGGAGTATAGCTTTAGTAGTGATATCTCTGGATCAGTGGATGTGCACATTTCAGTGACTTTGGGCATAATTCCATTTTGCTTTACACATTGGTTAGACCAATTAATAGCTCCACTAGCAGAGCATTAGTGTGCCTGTTTCCCAGACAACAATTATCATTTCTCATTTTTGTCATCTTTGCCAATCTAATGGGTGTGAAGTGGAATCACTGAGTTGTTTTAATTTGCTTTTCTCTAATGTTTAGTTATTTGGAGCATTTTTTCATACAATTGTTAATAGCTTTAATTTTTTCTTTTGAAAACTGCCTTTTCATATTCTTTGACCATTTCTCTCCTGGGGGATGGATGTTGTTTCTATAAATTTGAGTCAATTCCTTAAATAGCTTGGGTATATGAGACCTTTATCATATGAAACTTGCTGCAAAACTTTTGCCCATCTTTGTTTTCTTAGCATTTAATTTTAATCACCAGTTTTGTTTGTGTAAAAACTTTTAAATTTTATGTAATAAAACTTGCTCTATTTTATCTTCTTAGATACTCTTTCCCTTATTTGGTCATGAACTCTTGCCCTATCCGTAGTTGAGCAATGCAAGTCTTATCTAACAGTGAAATGACCATAGATTGGCTTATAAAACTATACTAGCCTACAATAAAGTCTTTAACAGACTGAATTGTCTGGGTGCTATTTCTATGAGTAAATATCATGGTAGAGTTATTTTGCTATGGCCATTAAAGGTGTTTGGAGACTGTGAGAACCGTCAAAGCCTTGTTTTCCAGGTTTATTACAAAAACGTGCACCCTAAGTTTCCTGAGGGGGGAAAGATGTCTCAGTACGTGGATAACATGAAGATAGGGGACACCATCGATTTCCGAGGGCCAAACGGGCTCCTGATTTATAATGGACCAGGTACTCCTGCTCATGCCCAAAGAAAGGGTCTTTCATTTTCCAAGATGTTTGGGGTGGGAAAAAGATGGAGCATGTTCTGAGACATTTCCATCATTTTAAAAAACAAAAAAAGTGCTTTTCAGAAGATGGAAATAATGTAAGTTTGGATCTTGATGCCCAAGATTGTCACTTCAGGCAAAATATTCTATTTATTTTATTCATTCAACAAAGATATAATGTATGCCTTCTGTATGCATGACTGATTCTGTGCTTGGTGTTGTAATTACTGGAAAGTTTTGTATTTCCTTTTTTACATGGTTGTAATGTGTGTGTTGTTACCAGAAAAGGTCTTTCCTATTCCCTGCTCCTGCACTGTCATGCTCCTTAATGTGGGCAAGTGGGAGAGGCTGTGGGTTTCCTCCTTTCCTATTTAATTGGGAATAATCTATGTCTTTACTGGTTTACTCTTCTAAGGCAGTGGGAAAAGGACGTGTATTCTGTGAGATACTCTGAGGAAAGTTTGGGAAGTTGTGTTACTTAACATTTTTTGCAGGTACGCTGGCAATCAAACCGGATAAGAAGAGTGAACCTAAGATGAAGTTTGCCAAGAATTTGGGAATGATTGCTGGTGGGACAGGTAAAACTTTACCTGGGGTGGCATAGTGCTATGGAGAACATTTTTTAACTTAATGACTTGAGATCTGCATCTGGAAGGATGAGCATAAATCTGACTGCCGGTCTCCCTGACTCACGTGAATATCCAGGTGACTCACATGAATATCCAGGTTTTAGGGTTGTTCCCTAAATCACTGAACTTTACAGAGACTAGGGAGTTCAGGGTTTGAATTTAAATGATGAGTCTGTAGTGCTGTCTTCCATTTCAACAACACAGCCTTTCCTGAAGGTGTGGCAGCTGCTAACACATATTTATTCAGAGGGGCAGACTTAGTGGGCCTACCTATGTAACATTGTAATACTCCCTATTCTAGAATTATACCTGAGAAAAGGAGAAGGATCGGGATAGTTCTTTGCATCAAAACAAAACTGAAATGAGCAGTTTTTTTTTCACACCTGTAACTTTAGAAGGAGGGGTGTGAATGAAGGTTAATAGATTATGTACAGAACAGCCATGGGACCCAAATTTCCTCATGTTTGGGTATCTCAATAGCACCCATCCATATACTGATTTTATTGAATCAAGAAAATGAAAGAAAATATTTTCTTGGATATGTTCTAGGAATAACACCAATGCTGCAGCTGATTCGGCACATTACCAAGAGTCCTGAAGATGGTACCAAGTGCTCCCTAATCTTTGCAAATCAGGTTAGGTAATAGTTCATTCTGTGTTCACTCTCCCTTCCCTTGGAAGTCATGAACATTAAGCATTAAGTAGGACAGGATTCATCTTTCTTTAAGAGTGTGTGATTGGGGATTTCTCTTTGAAGGCGTTTTAGTTTAGGGGCTATCTTCAGTCATTCAACACACATCAAAGAAGGGCGACTGTGGGAAATGGGGTCAGATGGGACAAAGGCACTGTTAGCTTTTTGTGTAGAATATACAAGATACAGCTGCCTGCAGCTGGTGCCTCCACTTCCTCTCCAACTCCCTTAATTCCAAGTCCTCTGCATACTGACTTTTGACCTAATCATTTGATGGAAATTTTTTTTCCAAAATCAGTGATGATCTCTAAGTGGCCAGATCTAGTGGCCTCTTCCTTCTTGACCGCTATGCTGCTTTTGACACTGTTAACTACTCTCTTTTGGATTCTCTTCTGTTTGGGTTTTTGTGACACTTTCTCCTGCTTCTACCAGTTTGATTGCACCTTCTCATTCTCTTTTGCTACTTCTTTGTTCTGGTCACACTCAGTAACCATGGATATTCCCTCAAGTCTCTGTCATGGATCCTCCTGTCTTCTCTCTCTAGCCTACCTCCTTTAGTGATCACATTAGCTCTCATAGATGAAATTATTTATGCAGGTGAATCTCCAATCTATACATCTAGCCCTAACCTCTCTCTTGAGCTCCAGTTGTGCATTACCCACTGCCTCTTGTACATCTTGAACTAGATGTCATGTAGGCTTCTCACACTCAACATCTCCCAGAAAGAACTCATTATCCCAAATCCTCCCCTATTCTATACTGCTCTCTTGCTGTCAAGGGCAGGCATCACCAGTGCCTCTGGTCATTCTTGACTCTGTCCTTGCCCCATCTATCAAATCTATTCCCAAGTCTTGTCATTTCTGCCCTTACATCATCTCTCAAAATAGATCCCCTTCTGTGCACTCACATACCTGCCACCCTGGCTTAGGTTCAGATCACCTCAGGCTTAACTATGAGCCTCCTAATTGGTCTCCCTGCTTGAGGTTGCTGCCCTCTTCAGTCACATCTTCCATTTGGCTGCCAAAGCCATCTTCCCAAGTGGCAAATGTGACCATGGTGCCCCGTTAAATAAACTCTGGTGGTTCCCCATTCTGTCCAGGATCAACTCTGAAATCCTCTTTGGCTTCCAAAACCTTTAACAACTTGGCCCCTTTGCATCTTTCTAATCTTCTTACATTTTACTGTGTTCTTACCTTTCTCTGTATCCCCAGCATCTAGTAGGGCCTGGCACACTATTATTGCTCAATAAATGCTTGTTTGATTCATTGAATGCTAACGAACTTAAAACATGTCCATGTGTGTCTCTTTCTCCCCTCCCCCTACCACACTGTACCTTTCTCTAGGTCCCAGAGGATACGACAGTATCTCGGAGCTCATCTAGCTCTATCTCTTTTTCTCAGATTGTGTTCCAGCTTCAGTGGTTTACTCAGTTTCTCTCCTCCCAATTTGCCCACTCTTTCTCCACATTGGCTTTTGCCACATTACCTTCCATTCTTCATTCTTTCAAATCCCCAAAGGCTTTCACAATACCTGCTAAAACTATCTGATTTTTTCTCATTTGAAATATGGATCTACCTGAGTCATTTGATCTTTCTAGGTAGGTAATGATGATATACCTGTTTCTGTACTGGGCTGACTTTAGCCAGCGTTTGGTTTTGACATACTGTTGCTGTTAGACTTGTCAATTCTTGCCTGAACAGTAAAGAAGAGTCCAGGAAGAATACTTGAGATACTTCTTCAATGTGTATCTTTTTTTTCTTCTAGACTGAGGAGGATATCCTTCTGAGAGCAGAGCTAGAAGAAGTGGTGAAGAATCATCCCAACCAGTTCAGTCTGTGGTACACTCTGGACAGGCCCCCTAATGGTAATCCTTGTGTGCTTCCCTCAACTAGAAGTGACCGAGTGCTCCCAAATGTTGAGTCAAAGGATCTGGGTTCCATCTTGGCTCTGCTCCTACCTTCCCTATCTAGAAAGTGAAGGGTGTGGATTTAGTGATTACTAAGTTCCCTTCCACCTCTAAATGCTGTGATCCTTTCATTTCTCTCAGTCTCTTCTCACCATAGTCCCCATCTTTACTCTCTTAGGCCCCATCCATTTAAGTTTTCCCAGGTCAGAATTGGCTTTTGACCTACTTTAACGAGCTTTGGCTCAGTATCAGAGAGAACACTTCAGGTCGCCTAGCAGGATGTAACAGGTTCAGTCAACCCATTGCCTCCTTCCTCTCTGTGCCTAGTATCATAAAGATGCCTTGGCAGGGTAAAATGGGAGTACTTCATAGGGTAAAGTAGGGAAAGCAATTCAAAAGACTGGCAAGGCAAGTTCACCAGCACTTCTGTGATCAGTGCCAGTCTGCTGCAGCTCAGGGCAGGAAAGTGATCCAAAATGCAGACAACTCTTACTGGCCTAAGATTCCTTCCTGGGCGCTTTCCCAGACTTTGCTGATGGACTGATGCCCTCTAGACATTTGGGGGGGGGTGTTGTTGTTTGTCCTTTGTTCTTAAAGAGGACCATGACATCAAGGAGGTGATGCCATGACATGCAAGTGAATTGGATTTAAGTGAGGGAGCAAAGCAGTATAGGCTCAGTCCAAGCGCTCACCAATTAGCTCCACTTCAAAGATAGATCTGGCTACAGAAGCTTTAGTGAAATCTCCATAGAGGAATAGTAAGTAAAGCATTACTGGCAGGGGGTCATTGGTGGCACTGAGAAGTCTCAAACTGTTGGCTGGATGATACATCCTCTCTGATCCAGCCCTCCAGGAACGGTTTGCACCACTTTGGTAGAGCCCTGGAGTTTTAAGATAATTTCTAGTTAAACTCATTACTGTTTCCTCTGATGCCATTTCAGATTGGAAATATAGCTCTGGATTCATTAATGCAGACATGATCAAGGATCATCTCCCACCACCAGGAGATGATACCGTCATTTTGATGTGTGGTCCTCCTCCAATGATCCAGTTTGCCTGTCAGCCCAACCTGGAAAAACTGGGCTATGCTCAAGACAAGACTTTTGCCTATTAAAAAATTCTTATTAGCAAGTGTTGCTCGGTATTTTTTGTATTGAACTTCAGAATGTCTTGTTCAAATGATTTTTTGATCATTTAGCCTATTCTAAAATAGCATGGTTTTAAAAATGTTAAAATAAGTAGTTTTCTAAATGATCTTCTCTCAGAATGAGTTGCAAAATTTAAAAACACATATAAAACTTCCTGCTTTGTTATCTTGTCTGAGATTTCTGTGTGCTCTTTAAGTGTCTTGGTCAGGGACCAGGGCCTGAGAAGCTGTGCCCAAGAGATTCAGTAGTACACTGGTCATGTTAGATCCAAATGACAAGTGATTGTAATAGATTTGCAGAACAGCATTTGGCTTAACACTTTAGTGAAATAAAATTTGTGTAAAATAAAATTTAAAATCTTGTGTGTATTGTAGATGCTTGCATACCTCTAACCCACAATATCAAGAGCTATGGATAGCTAAAAAGCCATTAGTCTTTTGTTAGTGTTTTCTGTTTTCTAGTATAGTCTTTAAAAGAACTATCAACAGGTAGGGAATTCTTAGATGGGGCTTTCATATAAAATAGATCAAAAATTAATTTCTAGAAGAATAAAATGGACTTCCATTATAGAAATGTTAAAATCCGAGTTCTCTGAAGGAATATTGGAGCGGGGATGAGAAGGACAGGCAGGAAGGAAAGCAACCAGGAGAGAGTGAACACACGACAGTAACAAATGATGAGGCATCTCCCTCCTAGCTACTGACACCAGTCTTGCAGGAGCCCATTGCGATTAGCAGCAGCTAAAAGGGCTAGCTGTCTTGTCTAGGTGAAGTACCACAATTTGTTTAGCCATTCACCAGTCAGTGGGCATCTACTTTGTTTCCAATTCTTCGCTACCACAAAAAGTGCTGCTGTGAATATTTTGGCATCTCAAAAGCTTATGGAAGTGATTGTTGATAAATCAAAATAAATGAATAAAAAACATTATTCTGAGAAAGGGTCCACAGGCTTCATTCGACCACCAAAGAGATCCATGACACAAAGATGATTAAGAACTCATGATCTAGACACATGGGCTCCTGGGAATACTGTCTTAAGCTGTTTTTCCTTTCCCATTTGAGCACAACTAGCCTCTGCTAATCTGCTGTAATGTTAACAGAGGGCCTTCATTTACTCAGATACCAGTGTGGCTTCCCTCAAATCAGTCAGAAGACATATAGAGACCTTCTCAAGCTGAGAGTGTACTTATATACTTATAACAGGATAAGTATACTTATCCTGTTATAGCAACAGGACATTTCAACAAAACCTTGTTTCATAGCCTTATTTCTAAAGGGTGAAGGGAATATTGAAATGAGTAGTCTTCTCATTCTTCAGAGTCTAGGCATTGACTCTTTGATGCCCACAAAGTTTATGGGGTTGCATGGCCCATACTATCCACCTTTCTCTCTGTCAAAAGGATTTTGTCCAGGGCCAGATCCTGAGAGGAGACCATACATACCATCCCTATCAGAGGACAAAAAGGGTGAAGAAAATCACACACATCTTCCACCTCTCTACAGAGCTTTTGTTTATTTAATAGGTTTAAAAAAAAGTGATCTGTTGAACCAGAAAATTGGGAAATACTTTTTCCCAGAAATATTTTTCTCCAGGCCAATGTGCCAAAGTGACTTGATGGGCAGTAAGTTGTGACTCATTCAAAGGATATCTAGTGCTGTTTCCTCTGAGTGATACCTCTTCTCTCATGGGAGATCAAGCAGAGGGAGTGGGTCTGGTGTGGAGTGGGGTGGGGTGGAAAAGATGAATAACAGTGTCAGAGCTGGAAAAGCAACCTACTTCAACTTTCTTATTTTACAGATGAGGAAAGTGAAGTCCAGAGAAATGACTTGCCCAAGGTCATTTAAGAAATTAGGGGCAATCCAACCATTTTGGAGAGCAATTTGGAACTATGCCCAAAGGGCTATAAAATTGCGCATACCCTTTGGCCCAGCAATACCACTGCTAGGTCTGTATCCCAAAGACATCATAAAAATGGGAAAAGGATCCACATGTACAAAAATAGTTACAGCAGCTCTTTTTGTGGTGGCCAAGAATTAGAAATTGAGGGGATGCTCATCAATTGGGGAATGGCTGAAAAAGTAGTGGTATATGAATGTAATGGAATGTTATTGTGCTATACAAAATGATGAGTAGGCAGACATCAAAAAAACTTGGAAAGACTTACATGAACTGATGCAGAGTGAAATGAGCAGAACCAGGAGAACATTATACACAGTAACAGCCACATTTTGGGATGACTGACTTTGATAGACTTGGCTCTTCACAGCAACACAAGAATCTAAGACAACTCCAAAAGATTCATAATGGAAATTGCTGTCCATACCCAGAGAAAGCAATATGGAGTCTGAATGCAGATGGAAGCATACTATTTGCCCTCCTTTTCCTTTGTTGCTTTGTTTTATTGCTTCATTCTCGTGGTTCCTCACATTAGTTCTCATTGTTCTTTACATCATGACTGATGGGAAGATATGTTTAATATGAATGTATAGGTAGAGCCTATATCGGATTGTACATTATGGGGGGGGAAGATGGGAGGGGAAGAAAGTTTAAATCTCAGAATCTTATGGAAGTGAATGTTTAAAACAAAAAATAAAAAAAAAGAAATTTGGGGCAGAAGAGGCATTGGAACCTAGCTTTTCTGATTCTTGGTTGATGTTTTAAATTAGTTTTCATCTTCTAGTTTGGTTTTTCAAAGGGAAAGTATTAAAGTTTGGTGTCAATTCCTCTCATGAAGGCACATGGAAATGCTGGTGCTTGGGCAATAGTAAACATGCAGAATGACCACAGAACACCCTTTGGATGGTGGAACATGCAAGGGTGTTCTCACTACTAATGGTGATCTCAATGTACATCAGGTCTGCAATCATCCAAAGCTATTACTGCTTGAGTTTTTTTTTTTTTTTGCTTGCTTGCTTCTCAATTTATTATTTATTCTTAAGCATTAAAAAAAATTGGGTTGCCTCCCCTCCATCCATTGAGAAGACAAGAAATGTGATGTCAATCATACTTGTGAAATTATGCAAAACACATTTCCATATTAGCTGTGCTGCAAAAAAAAAAAAAAAAAAACCCCAACAAAAACAACAACAAAAAAGCAAGAAAAATAAAGTGAAAAAACTATCCTTGACTCTGCACTCAGAGTTCATCAGTCCTCTCTCTGGATGTAGATAGCATTTGGAATTGTCTTGGATTGTTACATTGATCAGAGCAGTTAAATCATGCACAGTTGCTCATCCTTACAATATTGTTGTTACTGTCTACTGCTGGTTCTGGTTCTGCTCATTTCACTTTTCATCAGTTCTTATAAAGTCTCCCTAAGTTTTTCTGAAAACAATGCTCTCACCATTTCTTATAGTGCAATAGTATCCCTTCACAACCATATACTACAACTTGTTCAGCTATTTCCCAATTGATGGGCATCCCCTCCATTTCTAGTTCTTTACCACCACAAAAAGAGTTGCTATAAATATTTTTATACATATAGGTCCTTTTCCTCTTTTGAGATTCAGACACAGTAATGGTATTGCTGGGTTAAAGGGTAAGCACAGTTTTACAGCCCTTTAATCAGAGTTTCAAATTGTTCCCCAGAATGGTTGGATCAATTCACAACTCCAACAACAGTGCATTAGGGTCCCAATTCACTGGTTTGTTTTGTGCTCTATTCTTTCTGGGACAGTTTGAAGAGTCAACAAAGGAAGACCAGTCTTGAAAATCTACCACCAAGACTCAGCCAATAACCAGACAAGCAGTTGAAATGATCACTTCAGGCATCAGACATCTTGTCAAATGGAACACTATTCTTTATGCTTCCGTGTAATGAAAGTACTTTATCTTCTCCCACAAACCTCTCCACTGGGGAAACTGTGATGCTGGCTGCTTCGTGGTTTTCATTTCCATTGTTGGCTCTGGAGAAATGTCAGGACTCTTTTTCACTTTGGAAAACTCATCTTGTACTGACTAGAGCACTGTGCCAAGAGAATTTTCTCTTCTTTCTGTTAAACTCACATGCCAGGCATCATGGTCTCAATACCAATTAGCCTTGAAGCAATTTTATCCTCTGAGGCCTATTAGACAAAAGTCCTCTGGATCCTGCTAAGTAAATTGGATGGAGCTGAGCCACTGGACCACTGTCTGGGGCCTGCTAGGGAAGCCTGTCACTGTATTACCACTGGAAGCTTACCGAGTAATTCTACTTAAATTATCAATGATTGTATTATTAGTTCATCGCTTACCAAGGTTGTTGGCTAATTTCCCTCATCTCCTTTTAGACTGACATTTCTCCTTTTTCTGAGGTTTCTTTCTTCCTGGAAATAATATGTTTCACCCTGGTTTTAAATTCAGCATCCTCCCCCTCCCCCCCATTCTGTGTGGTATACTATAAAGATAAATTGACATGATTGTTCAAGCCCACAGATAGTAACACTACCTCCTAGCAAGTATGTGAGGACCTTGCCTTTAATTCATCCAGGTGATGCCAGGTCTGCTTGAAAAGAACTGCCCCAGCTATGGACCTGTGCACCTAAGTCTAGATTTGATGCACTGAGGAGCATGGCAAGGTGAGGGTTGCATCATGTGCCTTTGGTGTTGAATCAGGAAGTTGTAGTTATGGTGTGAACTGCTGTATGAAAAGCCACAATGTCTTACAGGACAGCTGCCCATGAATGACTCAGGATAGGAGAAATGAAGTATGTGTGCATGTGTGGCTTGTCAAATCAGCCTGGTCTGTTGACAGTCACAACCTATGTATACTTATTCTCAACTGCTTTTACATCTGTTACTTGTTTAAGACAAGAAGAGCAAGCATTTTCTAAAAAAGAAAAGAAAAGAAAAAGAAAAAGGGGCTGTTTTAGATCAGGAAGAGATAAGTCAAATAGTGGGTTGTCATTTCCCACGAAATCTAGCCCCTTGATCTCTGAGGATGCAGGTTTTTTAACACTGATGTTGGGAATGGCCAGCTCTTTGCTTTTCTCAAATGCCATTCAGCTGTGGGACAGGAGCCACACCATAAATCTTACATTTATATCATCAGGTCATCAGGAGCTTCTGGAGTCATCTAGTCCACCTCAAACTGGAGCAGGGACCCTCTCTGGAAGTAACAAACGGTCATCCAGGCTCCCCGAGAAAATTGCCACTGAGATTCCTGACAGACCATTCCATTTTTGAACTGTTGGGAAGCTTTTTCTTTTTTGAGCCAAAATCACCGTGACTTTAACTTCAACTGAATTCAACAAATATCTTATCAAGTGTCTACTACCAAGCAGGACACTGACCTCCAACCATTTGGTGCTAGTTCTGCCCTCTAGGACTAAACAAAACACATTTAATCCCTTTTCCACATGATAGCATTTCACACTTGAAGAGA